ATGTTTGTGTATAGTGTGTTTGATTGCAGGGGTGTGTTTGTGTATAGTGTGTGCGTTTGATTGCATGGGTGTGTGTGTGTGCAGTGTTGGCGTTTGAATGCCAGGATGTATGTACTGCCACACACAGATACAAATACACATGCAAACTGACACACAGGTACAAATACACAGATAAGTAACAGTTCTGCATGGAGGGGTGTAGAGTGCTGCCCAGCAGGCCACAGGTAAGAAGTCAATCTGTTACCAAATGATTTAACTACTTACATTGTGGGATGCCAGGCTAGCCCTCGTACCATTCCCGCTTCAGCGCATTTCTAAACGCTATGTTCCACATGTTAATGCTTTTTATATAAAAAAAGGAAACTAATTGAAAAATGTAGGCAGCTAACATTTTGGCACCTTTTCCAACTGTTAAGTTTTTGCTGTTCGACTTTTGAATTCACCGCAAATCTGTGCTTAGTGAACCAATTCTAGCTGAGTTTTAGAAATTCCCCATTTTGCCTAACTTTTACAGTTTGTTGAAAAAATAAGCTCTGGTTAGTTATGTTTGTGTGTGTTGGGTGTTATGTTACCTTTTATTAAAGGGATCTAATTTCCTTTTATTGACCAAAACATGCACATGCAGTGTGGGGTTAATTTACTTAAACCAAGAATTGTGAAAATTGTACAAGTGAATAGCTTATCTTAGGCGAAAATTACTGAAAATTGCTGGGTTACTGAACAAAAACCGGAATTGGAGAATGTTTACCAATTTCTTTAATTTGCCTTTGTTTTGCAGTTCCCATGTCAATTATCCTGATACATAATTTAGCACATGTACGCCATCATTCATTTAGATCAGTGTTTCTCAAACGTTTTCGGAGAAGTGCCCCTGCAGGTCTAAATTTTTTTTTTTAAATTCCAAGTAGCCCTCGACTAAGAAAGCAATATTTATTGATTTTGTAATTCCAAATGAAACATTGAGACAAAGTTATTGAAGAGCAAGCCTGATTAAAGGAAGTAAATAATATTTTAAAAATAATTATAACCTAATGTGAATATTATGTATGTAAGGAGGTATGGATGAACTATTAACCTGCAGTATAGAAGTCACAAAATGAAAATACAATTAACACATAATAGTTACACACGGAGAACAATGAAACACACATTTACACAGACACTAACACACATGTAGGGGACGCAAATATACAAACTGAGGAAATACACACTTGCACACAGAGGACATACGCACTGACTTGACACACACACACACCTTTGCACACAGTGGCAACTGACTGACAGACACACACTCTCACAAATAATTTTTTTCTTTAAATCCACCAAGCTTCCCTACGTTTGGGAGAGCGGGAGTGGATCCTTTCCCTTCTGACATGGCATTTGGGCACTCTAGGTGGTACTATGGTGGCTAGCACTTGCCGTACCCCCTACATTTGGTGCCAGAACCCCTTGTGGTATGAGTACGGCTGTTTGAGACACAAGGATCTAGATCCATTCTGTCTTCTGGGTAAGGCCACTTTTAGGCAGGGATATTACACTCCAACGTTTGTGTCCTGTAATAGGAGACTTGCCAAACATTCAGTGTAAATACTCCATGCAACTGTCCCGTCTCTGTCTGTGACCTACTTAAACCCCTTCCTCAGTTTTTATTACCATTTGGAAGGAATTGATGGCATTTTGTACATAAATCAGGATAATACTGTGCTCTTTGAAAAACTTTTATTAAAAAAAAGTTTGCGTCTCCATATAGGTTTTTTTTTTTTTTCTTCTGTAATTTAGAAGTTTAGAATGTGAATACTGGGACATTCCTTTAACCTCCCATCTGCTTTCAATTTAGCATTGTTTGATATCGGATACGAAGTGGAACTTTTACAAATAAAATGTGAGTGCTCGGAGGATTCGATTAAAGGATTACATCCGTACCTGTGCAGTAGGTAAGTGTTCTAAACAAATATAAAACAATTGGAAAATGTCTGGGTTTTTTTCTTTACATTTTTTTTTTATAAATACACAGATTTTTTTGATGATGGGAAATTTTTCTTCTCTGATGGCATTCACTGACTATCGTTTTCTGTATGCAGGCATCCACTTTAGCAAGAAATCGTGCTTTATTCATCATTCATTTTTGAGTTTGGCTTTTTTGACAATCTGTAATTTTAGCAATTCTTTTGGCAACTATGGGGAGATGGGGATAAGGGAACCATGGGGAAATAATGTCTTTAAATTTTGCAAGCATCCGTCTTTTCTTAACTTACTGCATCTCACTAATAATTGGGCATCGTATTGCCTTTTACATTGTAACAGCGTTTACAGTTAAAGGGTTAAGAAATTATATATAAACTAGTCGTGGTTGCTTGAAAATCGTTATTCCCAGCAACACATCATATTCGTTCATTTTAAGAGCCCCAGACAGTAAAATTAGTTTTGGAATATTACACCTTGCCCACATGTAACTGTTCACCAATCACAGACCTGTGGAACACTGCCCATAAAGTACAGATGGACTATCTCCCATGGAGTTCAGGAAGCTACAGACGAGCAACCTACAAGGGCCACCATCATTAGCTGTTTGCTACAAACAGGTGATGATGGTGGCCCTCGTAGGCTGCTCGTTGGATAGCCCATGGCCATCTAAGCCTTAGAATCTTAGTTTGAACTCTCATATATAATTTAATTTTCCTAGAAATCTTACATTGTGGCACCCCATCAAGCAATATGTCACAGCAAATGTAGAAATGAATATTTAGTATGCAGTTAATTAGATAACAAGCTGTTAAATGGGCGATCTTCCACCAGCTTGTGTTTCTCATTTTTATTTTTATATATATATATAATTTTATTTATTTATTTTTAACATTCTGAATTTGAATGCGTTTCATTTGGAGCAGCTTGTTAACCCTTTTCTGCTATTTTAGATAATATGGATTTGCGTTTGTAGCAGAGTGCTATGTTCTAAAGAAGTGTCCGTTTACTCCCTAAACAGTGAATGCCATACAATAGCATTAGAATGTACTGCTCTGAAAACCTCATAGGGGGCTTCAAACAGAAACAGCTGGGGTGTACGTTTCTGCCAATCCAGCCGTGGCATTTTTGCTGTTCAGTATTTCCCATTTAAATTTCTATTTGTAAGGCCTACTGTATGCAGAGAAACCATCTTTTTATTTTTCTTTTTTTTTTTTTACAGAGTGACTTTCAGTAGGGGTTGACCGATATTAATATTTATTTTTTTTTGTGCCGATAATCTGTGAATTTACAGGCCGATAGCTTACTGATATTCTGTACATTTACCGTATTTTTTTTTTTTTTTCCTAAGTTGTAAATGCACAAAATATACATGCCAGTCGGGTTTTGTTTTGTTTTCAAGAATATATATATATATATATATATATATATATATAGTGGGTAGTGGATGCAGTGAGAGTATTTGATTAGTAAATGCAATGTGTGTTTGTTTGTGTAGTGGATGCAGTGTGTTTGTGTGTAAATATGTGCGGTAGGAACTCCCCTCCTCCCAACCCCTTACCTGTCTCTTAGTGCCCCCCTTCCCCTGTTCCTCTCACTTCTCTTTTAGTCGTCCCTACCTTTTTTCCTTCCTTCCTTCCTGTACCTTAGTGTCTTCCCTTAATGTTCCTCTCTCCCCCTAGTGTTCTTCACCCCCCTTCTCTGTCCCATAGTGTTCTTCACCCCCCTTCCCTGTCCTATAGTGTTCCCTGTCCTATCCCCCCTTCCCTGTCCCCTTCTTCCCCCCTTCCCTGTCCCATAGTGTTCTTTCGCCCTTCCTGTCCCATAGTGTTCTTCGCCTTCCCTGTCCCATAGTGTTCTTCGCCTCTGTCCCATAGTGTTCCTGTCCCATATAGTGTTCTTCGCCTCATTCCTGTCCCATAGTGTTTTCACCCCTTCCCTGTCCCATAGTGTTCTTCGCCCCCCTTCTCTGTCCCATAGTGTTCTTCTTCCACCCTCCTTCCCTGTCCCATAGTGTTCTTCTCACCCCCCTTTCCCTATCCCATAATGTTCTTTCTCCCTCCCCCCTCTTCTGTCGCATAGTGTTTAAGTTCTTGTTCCAAGATGCGCACTGCTCCGCTCAGCCACGCTACACAGAGTGACTGGCAGGAGGGAGTGCTGTGCGCCCAACTCCTGCCGGTCATTCGATCTAGCTCCCCCTGGGCCGGTGCGCCGTAAGGCGGCGGCTTGTGCCGCCTTATCGACGCACCAGCCCACTCATTCATTATCAGTATACTTACAAAAAACGGACTATCAGCCGATATCGGCAAAACCGATAATCGGTCGATCCCTAACTTTCAGTATAAATAATATTAAAACATAGCCTGTTG